AATATGAGCTATATAAATAAAATTTGATTGATTGAAAGTTAGAAAGTGAACTTTCAGTTTGTAAACTTGAGACGACATAAACAAACTGGTGCATGTAGGAGATAGCTTGATATTTTGGGGAAAATGATTAATTGCTAAGTTGCAGAGATTAAGATGAGATGATTGGAATGAGAACTATGCTAAGCTAAATTCTCATATTAGCTCAGAATAAAGACTGACAACAAACATTTTGTGATTTTACAGTTGGCTACTTTTGGAAAGGAAAAAACAAATAAACACCTTGAATCTTATTCTTAGTTTTCTATAGATTAAACAAAAACAAACCTGGATTCTTAGTTTGTAAAATGCTGGCAGGTGGATTTCACTAGCTTTGGACAAAGTTTGACTTAGGGTAGATATAAACTCGCTAATGACTTTGCAGTTTTGTGCACATGCTGGTTCCCTTGTGTATCTTGCGTTTATTTGAAGTATTGGTTGTACACCAAGAATGAACACCGTGCAAACTTGCGATGCGACAGACACAAAGAACAGTAGAGGGGATGGAAGGGCAGTGTGGTGGTGGGTCTGCAATAGTTTGCATCTGTACAATGTGTTATTGCCACTGCTCAGTAACAAACATGCAACTCAAAATAGCTGGGAACAGTTCTATTTTGTGGAAAATAAACAGGCCTATTCTGTCTGTACACAGTGTAAAATGTGCAGTAGGTCCTTTCATGAAAAACAAGAAGTGACACTATAAGCTACATCGCCTCGAGCAGTGTAACCATAATGTTCCAGCCCAGTTAAACATCAACGTTCAAATAGAAAGCAACTGAAAACAAAGTCGCAGAAATGGTTAAGCAAATTCGCGACTCATATGCAAACATCTCTCCTCCTACAAATTCTGACAAAAAGTGTGTTCACCCTTTTTTCCATAGTGGGTGACTTGTCAAAGTGGCTCTGACACACCTTTCATCTGGTTTCAAACACCAGCAAGTTTGAATATCAACAAGCAACACAGCTCTGGCCTGTGAAAAAAGGAACTCATTTGTTGGAGGTTAATGCAGGTTTGTTAAATCAGCCCAGCACCAGGCTAACACAGGGTGGCTCTTCTGTCAGTGTGGCAGAGTTGAGCTGAGGAGACTATGAAATAGTTCCTCAAAACTACTGCCCTTTATTTCACCCACACTACACATAATGTGCATTGGTGTTGATATAGATAAGACAAAGCGACAAGAGCTGATAAAAGAGAATGAACTGTGCTTCCAGTCTGGAAGATGTTCTGTCCTATCAAGTAAGGAAACTGTTGAACATGAACTGGCCTGTTGCCACTAAAACGAGTCAAAGATATGTGCATATTAAATATTTCACACCTACTTTATTTATCTATAAAACAATTGAATTAAATCAGCACGTTAAAAACAATTTGACCAAAGTGCTGCATATGTTTCCTTTAAAGGCAACAAAAGCAATGCAAGTGAGATATATGATAATAATACGAAAACTAGAAGATTTTCCAAACTCTTGAATCGAATAATTAGTCTTGGTGAAATCCAGAAAAATGGCGACAAATGCTCCATTTTACAGCATTAAAGAAAGTGAAACATCTTGGCTCTGCCCTATTAGATAACTGGTTCTTCCTTTGGCCCCCTTTCACTTTCCAAGTGTGTGTGTGTGTGTGTGTGATTTAAGTAATTAATTTTCTTCCCAAACACTCGTCTTGCATTCATATGACTTGATGAGAAAACACAAACAAAACAAAAAACACAAAACAGTCAGTGAGCCTCTTAAACAGACAAATTAACAGTATTTCAAATATGTATATGACATCGAACATACATTTCTTCGCAGTGTTTTAATTTAGATTTCCCTTGTGCATTGTGCTGCTAAAGGACCATGAAAATATCAAGATATGTGCAAAAATGTAAACAAAAAAATACTTTTAATGATTCAATAGTGCACCCCTTTGTGTCTGATATAGAGTACACGTACATGAACTTTGAATTTTAATTCATGTACTGTGTCTGTATCACATCATCCATGTCTGCTTTATGTGAATGTACCGTGAATTATATTGTTTGACACACAGCTATTAGGAATATTGCTGATGCTTAAAATAAACTTAAAAGGAGAAAAAAGTACTGAATGTTTTAAATTATTCCAGAAATAGAAAATGCAATAAGAAAAACAGGCAGATGGTGTGTTTTCCTCCCTCCCAGCTACTTTCCTGGTTTATCCCATCTCCACACATCTGCCTGCATTAACGATGAGGAAAAAAGAACTACTTGAAATGAACTATGAATACTGCCACAGTGGTTTTTCTACTTCACGGTTAATGAAGTGATTATCTCTCAATGAGTACACTTGTATTATCTTGTGATGACAATGTACTATTTTTTAAACACTTACATAAGCATGAAATCACAGCATGCTTTATCTGACTGTTTCCAGGGGGTGTGACAGCAAGAAGGACGATATAAAGCAAAGTGCTAGTCTTGGAGAAACAGCAGCACTATACAGGACACCGACCACCGCTACATACCCAAGAGACAAAGCTACAGCCATGACCTCTATCAAACATCAACAGACCAACCGCCCAGGTAAAGATTTGATTGTACCTGCAGCTTTTACATTTGAATTTCATTCGCCTTTTGCTGTACATGAGGACAATGTGACTATGGTTTGCACTTTTCTTCTCTAGCACTCAAGAAGACAAAGTCTCTGCAGAAAATCAACCACTTCACAGACGTGCAGGGGCTGCCGTGCATTGAGAAGATTGTGACCTCGGTCGAGGAAACCCCTGATCCCATCAACACCGATGTCATAGGCAAAATCCCAGAATGGATCAGCGGGAACTTCCTAAGAAATGGGCCAGGGAAGTTTGAGATCGGAAACCATAGGTGAGTCAGATGTGTCCGTTCTGGGGATGTGAGAATGGAATTTGTGTTTTGAGAGGTTTGGGGAAAATAAATATAATGGTCTTGACTCATTTCTCCTGTTCCCTCCACTGTCATCAGGTTCAACCACTGGTTTGACGGTATGGCTCTCCTGCACCAGTTCAAAATATCTAACGGTCAGGTGACTTACAAAAGCCGCTTCCTGTCCAGTGACAGTTACCAAACCAACATGGAGTACAACCGCGTCACTGTGAGTGAGTTTGGGACGATTACAATGCCGGACCCCTGTAAAAACTTCTTCCAACGCTTCCTGTCAAGATTTGAGTTACCAAGTGAGTTTGTTATTTAGAAGCAGGAACACAATTATTCTGATGCAGTTAGATGTAATAAGAGTGCGACTGTGAAGAGGGTTTACTCCCACATACATACATACAAACATGTGAAATATGTGGACGATTGTACAGTGAGTTATTGTTGAGGTTGTGCTGTGTTATTAACTTTGACATCTTGCTCCTCTTCTCCAGAGACCACAGATAATGCAAATGTGAGCTTTGTGACCTACAAAGGTGATTATTATGTCAGCACGGAAACCGATACCATGCACCGGGTGGATCCTGAGACACTGCAGACAACCAAAAAGGTGACTGAGAATTTACAGCACCAGTTACAGACTACTGTCACTCATTACATGATATAAGTATCTGAACTATCTCAACATGTATGTTAGGTGAACTGGAACAATTTCGTTGCTGTGAATGGAGCCACCGCACACCCTCACACTGAGCCTGATGGAACAACATACAACATGGGGAATTCCTACTCCATAAAAGGTATTTTAGGAAACATCACTCAGTGTCATTGGAACCTGTGCAGTGAGAGACGGGGGGAGACACTTCATTAATTATCTGTGTTGACAGGAGCACACTACAACATCATCCGGGTGCCTCCAACTAAGGGAGCAGAAGATGAAACCTTGGAGGGAGCCACAGTGCTGTGCTCTATTCCCTCAGTGGAAAAGAGTAAACCCTCTTACTACCACAGCTTCGGTGAGTAAGAGGTCTCGTCAGATGTACAGGCAGAGTTCAAGCACGAGGACTCCGCTTGAACTCTGACTGTACATTCATTTGAAGGAGCAAGAGTTACTATTTATGTGTATTCTACAAAGGTGACCGCAAAGTTTTACTTAACTTTATCAGGCTGGCCAGATGTGACCAATCCTGATGAAAGAGTTCCTTCATTAATTTAATTCGGAGTTTCAGATATCCAACATTCAGTCACTGGTTTCCAGCTCAGATTCTAATGTCACAGCAATCCCTGGCTAACTTAACTTAGAGTGATATTTGTCTGCAACTAGCCATCGGTTTCATTATTGATGAATGTGCAGATGCTTTTTCTTCAGTTTACTATGATGTATGAATAAGAAAAGAGGCCAATTATCCCATTTGATAGACCGGACACTGAGAAACTGGCATTTTAGAATAATTTTGGGGGTGATAAAAGACTAATGATTGCTTAACTTTAAAAAATAATTGTTGATTACTCGATCTACTAATCAATTGCTTAAGGTCTAAAATGATCCCGGTGAGTTCTGTGCAGTTCAATATAAATGAGAGAGAGAGAGAGTCCTGCTATCAGGGAATGGTATTTTACTCAATGTGGGTTGGTCTGTCGATTCTGATAAATGCGTTCAGGATTTTGAGTATAGACTAATATGAATATTTTCAATCCATCCCAGCGATGACTGAGAACTACGTGGTGTTCATTGAGCAGCCCATCAAGATGAACCTGGTAACGATTGTAACAGGCAAGCTGAGAGGAAAGAGCATCAGTGATGGCTTTTACTGGGACCCATCTCTCAACACAATATTCCACCTGATCGACAAGCAGACAGGGAAGGTAAGTCCCCAACTCACTCCTCTAGAACGCAGTCTATTGTAATGTATATCAACCAAAAGTGGGTTGCTTTCATTTGTCTCTCTTCGCTATTGTGTCCCAGGTCAGCGCCGTCAAGTATCTTGCCAAGCCGTTGTCAACCTTCCACCAGATCAACGCATACGAGGAGGACGGCTTCTTGATCATCGATATGTGTGTTTCAGATGATGGACAGGCAATCAGTAACTACAACATCCAGAATCTGCGAAAGTCTGGAGAAGCTCTTGATGAGGTAAAATGCCACTAGTCGACAAGCTGCACCTTCAATGCTTCCGTGACTTTTCCCGTGCAAGGTGTTGTGTTCACGGTTAGGTTTTGGTCTGTCCCTTGGTTTGCTGAAGAGAATCTTATCTCCTCACCAGGTGTACAACACCTTATGTAGAGCGTTCCCACGGCGTTTTGTGCTGCCTCTCAATGTGAACCATGATACACCCTATCACCAGAACTTGAACCGGCCCAACACCACAGCCACTTCTATAAGAACTGCCAAGAAACAGGTAGGCCACAGAATCTACATTTATCAACACAAAGGAAACTGTTAAAGTCATTTCTATGTCAAGTGGATCTTTGATAGATGTGAAGTAAAAAAAAGGAGATGCCAATACCTTCTGATAACACAAGAGAACATTCAGTATCTTAAGATGTTTGGTTGATAAAATGGTATCACTTACACAAAGGATACGCAAACATACAGGTTTACGACCTAATGGCCTTGAACATATAGTATGCGGCATAATGCTTTCCACAGTATTTGACACCAATTGAATACATTGTCAGCTTTTTATGAATGCAGCAAATGCTTTGTGATTTCAATTTCTGTTTGCTATTTTGCACAATATTATGGCATAATATTTATTTTGGTGATATGTATTAATATATTGTATATTCATTTAATATTTATAGAAAACATCAACATGCGAACTAGATTTTGTGAAACGTCCATAATTTACAAACACATTTGTTATTTTATTTCAATTATTTCCTTTTTAAAGTTTGATTTACAGTAATTTAACCAATTACAAGTTAGAATCCCGTATCAAAGCTTTTGATTTCATGAAAATCAAAGCCATGTTTCGATAGGCCTACTGTTAATGTTACATTCGGTAATTATCTCTCCAGTACGGGAAATTATTATAAATTATTTGATTGCTAGTGACAGAGATAGCACCACATTCAGTTTGCCTTTCTGCACATTAGGGATTCACATAAAACTACATAAAATCCAATATGATGTTGTCATATCAGCTTCAGTTACTGTTCGCTCCCTTACTAGTGTTTTTATAGTGAAGCATTCAAAAGAAACACAAGCCTCTTTGTTGCAGTAACAACTGCTTTATCTGCTCAACACACCTTTTTCTTTTTAATTACACCTTTCTAGCTCAGTGCCCTCATACTGTAACTGCCAGCCTTCTGCAGGTCTCATTACCCACACTGCTGTTTTTCTTGGTGCAGGTGTTCTGTACCCATGAGGACCTTCACGGGGACGAACTTCACCAATATGGTGGTCTGGAGTTCCCACAGATCAACTACAGCAAGTACAACACTCACCCCTACCGCTACTTTTATGGCTGCGGCTTCAGACACCTTGTAGGAGACTCACTAATCAAGATGGACCTCCATGGAAAACACATGAAGGTGAGTCCCTCAGATGTCACCAACTGTAACAGACTGGCTGTGATGTACTCTTATCTGTGATCTATATGATCCAGTTAGAGTTATACTGTAGTATGTCAGCAAATAGAATATACTAAAATAAAAGGGAAAGAAATGATCAATAAGATTAATAGATTCAAGACTGTACAAGAAAACAGCCAAACTGAAAGACTAATGAGTCATGACTTTCTGAAAGGTGTGGGAACAACCTGGTCTTTATCCATCTGAGCCAATCTTCGTACCCACCCCTGACGCCACGGAGGAAGATGACGGTGTCGTCTTGTCTGTTGTCGTCACCCCGAACAAGGTCAGTCAGGTTGAGTGAAAGATTTCTGACAAAGGGATCATTTCTTTGGACCTCAAACAATGGAAATCCACAGTCACAATGCCTTCAACTGCTCTCATGAAATAATTCATGGCTTTATAAAGGGGTCTAGACTAAGGTCTAATGTTTCCTTTTACAATCATACAATCACAGTCGGTCTTCAAAACATCAGCATTGAGGTGGGAGGAACTTGTTAGATAGGGGTATACAGCAGCCGAATCATGGAGTGTGTACTGTATCTATGCTTAAAAGAAGTGTAGCTCTAGATTTACAGAAGCGCCAACTGGTACTTAAATAAATCAAGTAGAAAAATAATTTTAAATGCGCGCAGCTTAACTTATCTTTTGCCTTTGACTTGTAGGAAAAAAGCACATTCCTCCTGGTTTTGGATGCCAGGACGTTTGAGGAGCTGGGCCGAGCTGTGGTGCCTGTCAACATTCCCTATGGTTTCCATGGAGCATTCAATGCCACAGCATAGACGCGTGAGGAGGAAATACATGATAAATACTCTTGATGGCAGATTGTATACAATGTAAATATTGTCCTTTGATGCTTCGTTTATATCTTTGTACATGCAAATTTAGAGATCTCTACACAAGTATGGATGCTGCTTCTTTGTTGTTGTCGATAAATGAAAAGCTATAACTGCAATTATACGAAGCTGTTCTGTTGATTTTGCATTATGTCACATTCCGTTCACATTTACCATTTTGGCGACTTCCAAAAGAGGCACAACAGTAACACACCTTATAGCAAGCACTGACTTCAAAGTCGGTTTATTAAGACAAAGTGTAGGAGATCAAGAAAAGAAGTGCAGTAAAAATGTACAGTATGTGCTGATAAGACGTTAAGAGTATCAAGAGATTGATAAGCTGAGCTCTGATTGGGAACACAAGAACAATCTGGGCTGAAGTTTTATTGCAGACAAGCAGTGCTGCTCTAACAACAACTGTCTGAAACCTGCAGTGATAATGTATGATTAATGTTTACAACAGTAAGAGTACACAGGAATATCACTAACACTTATGTTAACTGCAGCCTTCACACTGCCCATGGGCCCTAGGCCATAGGTCTTAAACTTTAGGATGTCGTGCTTATCTAT